TTTGAACCACCAGCCTTCTGGTTAGCAGCCCAGTGCCTTAGGCACTATGTGACCAGAGCTTTTATATATATATATATATCATCAGGACTCAGATTTGTTATCCAGTTTGACTCAGTAGTAATAATTATTATTATTATATATGCTGAATAAAAAGGAAATTAAGCCCCTGATACCCTTTCCTGGTCCTATAAGCTTTATCTTGCATTGACACATTTCATTCCCCAAAATTTGGTTCAACCTGCCCTCAGACCTACCTCAGCTCTCAGGACACCAAAGATTCCCCCTGCTCTAAGAACCTTGAAAAAAGTGTTGTATGGTCAACCAAAAGTTGGTTACCACCATAAATTTTCCATAATTTAAAACCTGATTTAGACTATCATGAGAGAATTGTTTAATTATATATGCTTTACATTCTGATTTTCCCATATGCTTTAGAAAGTGAGGAATTCCCAAGAGAACACCTAAGGAAACAGATGGGGAATCTAGTTTGATTAACAAGGGCCTCTAGACGAATCTGAGTAGAATCAATATTACCCTCCTGTCCAGGACAAGTGGGAGAAGCTTACCATCCAGGACCCATATCTGGAGATTTTTGAACATGTCTCCTTGATGACCTTGGACACCATCATGAAGTGCGCCTTCACCTATCAGGGCTGTGTCCAGTTGGACAGGTCAGTAAAGACTTAAGCTTAGGGTCCTTGTTTGTATCAACTGGTTATGGGCTTACCTGACAGACAGATGGAGCACCCAGCATGTTCACCTCAGTACAAAGCAAGATTCTATCTGGAGATCAGACACATAATTAGAAATTTGGCTGCTCATGTCATCTTTTCAAGGTCTAGGGACCACAAGGGCTATAAGATCAGTGGTGCTTCAGTGGTGCCTGTTCCTGATATTTGAATATATCTCTGACCAGATTCTGACTTTACCTCAGAGGTCTTCCTCCCATCTAGTCTCTTCTGCATCCTTTGCCTTCAGGAATTCCCACTCCTACATCCAGGCCATCAAGAACATGAACAAACTGGTGGTTTCCCGTGTGAGGAATGCCTTCTACCAGAATGATATCATCTACTGGTTGACCCCTGATGGCCTCTTGACCCGCCAAGCCTGTCAGCTTGCCCATCAACACACAGGTACTGGTTTTCCCTCCTAGTCAGTCTCCCTCCTCTATGAAGGCCCAATCCAAAGGAACCTATCTTGACCCTTCTGGCCAAAACCCTCAGTGCCCCTGCAGGATCTGGTACATACCTAGGGTGGGTACAACTTTGGGGCAGTGGGTAGGCACAGAAATATTGTGTGCCAGGTACAGTTCCAGAGGTTAACATGTGTCATTACATTTGGTTATGGTTGATGAGACCCAATCCCAGGAAACATTCAATCAGAGGCTTCATGACTCTGTTAATGAGGGTGTCCTGACCTGCAACTTACTGGTGTTAGAGCTTTAATCTCCAACCTACAACGAATTCCACTCCTATCTCAAGCACCACCTCAGTCAGGAGGCTTGATGCTCAGATTGGTGACAATTATGATTGATGGGCTGCTGTGGGTGTTGGTCTCTGCTGCACTTACCTTCCACTGGAAACCACTTTTCCTGGGACAGACAAAGTGATTAAGCTGAGAAAAGCTAGTCTGCAAGAGGAGGGAGAGTTGGAAAAGATGAAGAGGAAGAGGCATATGGATTTCCTGGACATTCTCCTATGTGCCAAAGTGAGTGTGGGAAAGAACTAAGCTTTATCTAGAAGAGCTGGATCTGGGAGTAACTGCATTCTCCTTGGGACTTCCCACAGATGGGGAACGGGAGCAGTTTATGCAACAAGGACATTCGTGCTGAAGTGGATACATTTATGTTTGAAGGCCATGACACCACAGCCAGTGGCATCTCCTGGATCCTCTATGCCCTGGCCAAGCATCCCAAGCATCAGCAGAGTTGCCGGGAAGAGATCCAAAGTCTCCTGGGAAATGAGGCCTTCATCACATGGTGAGTGCTGCAGACATAGGAGAGCTCTGGCTCCCTGTTAGAGGAGAAACCCCTGGTCTATCCAGCACCTGCATGAGCCTCAGGCTTACCTTCTTCTCAGGGACCACCTGAATAAGATGCCTTACACTACCATGTGCATCAAGGAGGCCCTGCGACTCTACCCTCCAGTGCCAAACATTGGCAGGGCACTCAGCAAGCCCATCACCTTCCCTGATGGACGATCCTTACCCAAAGGTATGAACTTCACCACACTCACTTAACTTTCGGGGACTAAGTCCACCACCACCACCAGTTGCCATGAGCTGACCCCCACTCTTGGTGACCCCACATATATCACCATCAAAATGAGTCTCATAAGGTTTTCAATGATCGATTTTTCAGAAGTAAATCACAAAGCCTTTCTTCGTGGGCAACTCCAGGTGGACTCAATCTTCTAACCTTTTGGTTATCAGTAGAACTAGTTCAACTTTGCATCACCTGGGGACTCCATGAAGTATTCATATGCTAGATGATATGTGATAATTCAATTTACTAAGTTTTCTCCACCAGAAAGTTTAGCTTTAGAATGTATTATCTTCAGATGTAAAATCCTAATTCCCTGAGATGTAGAAGGGCTCAAGAGGGAATCAAAGAGGAAGCTAGATATTATTTTTCCTTCTGAGGCTTAACAGCAAATGAAGATCAGGGAATCCAGTGTCAAGGGTCAGGTGGAGTCCAGGCATGAAGGCATCCTCAGAATGGTAGCAGAAAGCAGCTGATGACCAGATGTGAGATGATAGCCATGGTCAGAGCCTATCTATTTGCTCACTTCCCATTGATCTGAATCTCTACTCTCCTATATATTCACTGTATGATCCTAGGCAAGTCATCTAGTCTTTCTTAACTCCTAATGCCTCATTTTAAACAAGGAAAAGAATGCATTTTCCATGAAGGGTGGTTGTGAAATAGAATGGGTTACTGTATACTTTCCTCTGTTGCTTGAGTTACTACAAACAATCAGTTTCAGATTGTCTCTTGCTTGTTCTCCCTTGTGGCACCCAGTCATTTTGTGTGTTACATCCATTCTATTGGCTGAAGTACCAGGGCAACATCCTACAGGAATGTCATTCTTTTCTCTGTCTCTAACCTGCCTCACAGGAATCAGAATCTCACTGAATTTTTATGCTCTTCACCACAACCCGAAAGTGTGGTCGGATCCAGAGGTATGAGGCCCTGGGAAACCGGGATGGGATGATTTCTCATGAACAACACTTCATGTTTTAGAGGAAGAGCTTGACCCCTAGTTGCTCTGGCTCTGATGCTCTCTCTGTAGGTGTTTGATCCATCCAGATTTGCACCAAGCTCGTCTAGACATACCCATGCATTCTTGCCCTTCTCAGCAGGATCAAGGTGAGGAGGCATCCTGTATGTAGTAATGGGGAGGGGTTTTCTGTGTGTGTGCTCCAATCACAGTGATAGGTGGCAGCCTCGGCTGGGCCTGGTAGTGTTGGTGTTTGTGGGAAGGGGGCCTTGTGTGTGTGTCTCTGTACTAAGGGAAAAGAATTTTCTGGTCAAGCCATGGAGACTTTGCTCCCACTGCTCTCTCCCAATGGCCAGTAACATTCAGAATGGCCGAGTTTTCCAAACTTCAATGTATTCTGATATTTTCCTTAATCTAGGATTATGACTCTCCAGGATAGGCTATCTTGGTGTTTTCTCATTTCCGAAGTTCTACTTTTCTCAAAGTCACAACTGTTAGAGGTGGATTTCTCTCTTTCAAATCATTTTCAAGCATGCCCACTGCCTTTCCTACTTACTTCAACAATCTGCCTTCCCATTGAAACAAATTTTTGCATTGGTTTCATATTTCTATGCATGTCTCAAATGTTCAGCTCGCATACTGGAAAGGTTATGGTTGCCTTTTGAAAGAAGTATATGCCAATTTGAGTCTTCTCTATGTTGCAAGCTATCCCAACAAAAATTGTCACTGTTAATGTTCACATTCCTAGGAAAAATATCTTGTTGGGCAAAATTTTTCATATGAAGTGGGGTCTACACACCAGAAATTAGAGTCTGGATAGTTCAAAACTGACAAAAAAAAAAGGAGAGAGAGAGAAAGGAAGAATAAAAATAAGAACCCAAGATAAGAAAACAAACCCATCAATATGCTGCCTACATGAGACATACCTTACAGATAAAGACAAAAATGGACTAAAAATCAAAGGGTGGAAAAAGATATATCAAGCAAATGGCAACTGTAAGAGAGCAGGAGTGGCAATATGGCAATTCTTTCAAAAGTTGGAATTAGAAATACCATTTGACCCAGTCATTCCATTACTAGGTATATACTCTAAAGAAGTGAGAGCCATGAAAAGAACAGATATATGCACACCCACGTAGCACTATTTACAATAACCAAAAGATGTAAACAACCTAGGTGTCCATCAACTGAAGAATGGGTAACCAAAGTATGGTACATACACACAGTAGAATACTATGCAACCCTAAAAAATAACGTAGAATCTGCAAAACACCGCATAACATGGATGTACTTGGAGGACATTATGCTGAGTGAAATAAGTCAATCACAAAAGAACAAATATTGTATTAGTCCATGATTGTAAAAGTTAAGGAAAGGCTTATCTATAGAAGGAAATTTTCTTTGTTGGTTACCAGGGGTGGGAGGGGA